GGAGAGGTCTGCCTCGCCATGTGGTCACCTCCGGGGCAGGCGGGAATCGAACTCATGTGGAAGCGGCTTCAGATTCTCAGTGCAGTGCTTTAACCCGCTGCGCCACCAGGGAGGGCCGAAGACTAGATTATTTTTAAAATGTGTGTCTTTTTAGAATGAGCATATGGATGATTCAAATAATAAATAACTGTATATAACTTGGGAGCTCCAAAATGTTAAATATTGGTACTTCTTTCTTTTAATGAACAACCTCTGCTGTACAATTTTTATCTAATAACTTACATGACCTCTAGGAGAGGTTAAACTAGACAATGAAAATAAGTTAGGATGCTGTTTTTCTGTTTGTACTTTGTTGGATGACTTACTTGATTAGATGTTTGGGTGGGGGACAGAAAGGATAATGTTAATCCTGAACTTACTTTGGAAAGTATAGCTAACTTTAGAGGCTTTCAATTATTAACCTTTAAAATATTAAATGTTTAAAATGTTGGTAGAAATGATACTGAATGAAATTTTGAGTATTATTAATGCTTAGTCAGCTTAGATGTGTATGGTAATTTTTTAAAAGCTACCTTTAGGTATAGAATGGAGGAAAAGCCCTTCAAGTATGGAGAAAGACAATGGATTGTCTATAGAAAACTGTCTTTAAATGTTCACATTATGCAGTTTCTTTTTACATTTTTTGTCAGTTAGAAAATTGTAGTATTAGGGGAAAGGTAGTCCTAAAATTTTGAAGATATCCAGCAAATATACATTGTCTTTTGCAGTTAGAAATTTTACTTCTCTTTATAAAGATTTATAAATTTTACTTTATAAAGAATCTTTTTGATAACTGCTAATGCAATAAAGTTCAAATAAAAATAGTAATCTGTGGAAAATGTGTGTAAGTGTTTAAGTTTTATAATTTAGTCTGGATTTGGTCAGATACTTATACTGTGGTTCTGAAGATTTAACAGTGAAGTTTTGTAAATCAGGTATTAAGTTTAAAAACTGATGTTTTCCATCTCAGACTATCTTGATGTTTTGTTGGAGAGTCACAGTTTATCTCTAAAAGCTGTGTATTCTATCATACAGAAAATTTTTTTTATGTGATATTAGCAGAATACCATTTGGAATTATGCTAATTTAAAAGGTTGAAGAATACTACATATTTACTTTTGGCAGCATTTCACACAATATCTGTTTTTCTTTCTGTTTGTAACTTCAGAGATAGCTGTTTTGAGTTTTTATCTGTGTTTTTTCCTTTTTTTTTTTTTTGTATTGTGGGCCTTAAAAAGTAATTTATTTCTTACTGAGAGCCCCCTTCTGTTCTGCCATCTGAGGTGATATAAGATGCTCAAGTTCTTTGTTGGTTGCCTTTGACTAATGCTTTTCAGCAGCCCCGGGCTCAGCTCCTGGTTCCCAGTATGGCACAATGACCAGGCAGATTTCTCGACACAACTCTACCACTTCTTCAACATCTTCTGGTGGATACAGACGAACTCCCTCTGTGACTGCTCAGTTTTCTGCTCAGCCTCATGTTAATGGAGGTCCACTTTATTCTCAAAATTCAAGTAAGCTTGTGCATTGCAGGCACAGTGCAACAGTGGAGCTCCTTTCGTAGGAAATTATTTGAAACTGATATTCTTACCAGTGATAGACAACAATTGAACCCATCCATGATCTAGTCGTGTTTATTTTTGCTTTAGGAAGTTAGTCCTTGAATCCTTTAATTTAAAACTATATTGATTATCATTTTCTCTCAGTATTAACACTGACTGAGTATGCTTGCATACGAAAATGTAATTGATGTTTTAATATGATCTTTTTATTAAAAGTGAAAAAAATACTGAAATTACATAAGCTGGGCTTATTGTCATATATGAGACAGCTTAATAATAGTAATACTAAAAGTTTTAATTTTAAAATTTTAAATTTAAATGTTTTTTCAAATTTAAAACTAACATTAAAAATATTATACAGTTGTTCTTTAAAATAATGTAATGAAATTGCTGGCTATCACTTTTAAGCTTGTTAACCTGTATTGAAATGAGTTCAAAACCATTAAAAACATTTGTGATGTCTGCTTATTCTATATCTGAATAATTCTAACAGTGGGGGGAGGATTTTCTTTTGATTTCTTTCTGGTCACCTCAAATTGTACATCTCAACACTAACTGCAATCAGTATTTAAAGGACGAGAAGATTAGAAAGTAGTTTTGGTCTATGTTGCACTGTGTTGTGTAATTATTAGTTTCACTTTCCATATTGAGATGCTTAATCCAAAAAAGAAAAAGATAAAGAAATCTGAAATGAGCTTCTTGTTCAGTCATCATTATTGGCTTGAAGTGTCACCACTTCACTAGACATAGACTGAAACATACTTTTCCACGTAATTTTATAGCTTTCTAGAGTTGTGTGTTCTATTATTTTAAAAACACTGAATACTCCACGTTTGCATCAGAAGTTGGTTTATGTTCCTTTTATAAATAATTCATATTCTGAAAAGATATGTTAAAACAGAGTGAGCTTGATTTTGTTTAAATTTTAAGATTGAGTTTTTCATAGCAAAAACTTTTTACGAATTTAAAAGTAAGCAAGCAGAAATGTCAGAATTCACAGATAATACCAAAATTTATACCTGTTGCCAGACCAAAGTTTTATTTAAGCTATACAAGAACTTAATCAATCAGAATTTTACCATATATTTTCCCTAGTCCCCTTTTGGAGAAAGGTAGTTAGTATTTAAATATTCCACAGACTATCAGTGATTAGCCTCACTAGTTTATGAACTTTTAGGTGTTTTTTTTTGTTTGTTTTTTTTTTTTTTCATTTTAAGCTTTCTTTTTACCCCATCTTTATGTTCATTATTTTTCTTTTCCTCACTTAGCTCTTTAAGTCACTCTGCAAATAATAGTTCTTGTGTAGTGTTAACAATACATTGTGGGTTTCTTATTCTCAGATAAGACCTCTTCATTGTGAATTTCTACATAATTTGATCTTACATTTTAAGTATGTTTAGAATGTTGTCAAATTAATTATCCTTCAGTCAGAGTAATCTTGTTGTGGTTAGTAGTAATATGTGGATGTTTTTAGTGTTTTGATGTGCATATTTCTCCTTTTGTCTAAATGTAGTGGTAATGACTACTACCTTCACCATAGTTTTTCTTTATTTACTAACCAGCATGGCTAGTTACTAAGGGTTGTTTTCTAAAAACTGTTTTTCAGTTGTTCTTTTATTGTTTTGTTTTGTTTATTGGGAGTTCTTTTTTTCAAAATCTGTAACATTTTATTTAATCACCTAGATACAGAGTATGAGAATAAACAAGGACCAGTATTATAGTGGATTTGAATGTTAATTTTTGCTATAGTGCATATTAATGCTCATACATTGCTTTGTTCAGTTATTGCTTCTTTGAACACTGAACCCAAGCAATCTTTGGCAATTACTGTGTTGTCAAAATAAGGTAAAGTGGTAAACACATAAATGTTTCCTTCTAGTTGGCTACAAGTTTTAATACATGTGCTGCCCACATGAACATTTGATAACAAGTTCTAATAAGTTCTGTCCTTCCAGAAAGAAGTTGGAATATGTTTTCAGCTGTCCAATGACTCGTTTAGAAATTATTGTACTGTAAGCAACTGCATATTTTAACCTGTCTTTTGATCAGGTTTCCTTTTTTTTTTTTTTTTTAAAGTGATAAAAGAAAGAAAGTCACTTTTGAGATAACCCATGAAGTTCAGGGAATGGTTAAAATTGGGATTTGGAGGAGCATTGTTATTCCTTAGTAAATTTAGAAGTGATATCTTTAAAAATAAAATTGTCAACTAAAAAAATAATAACCTTGCTTCACAAACAAGGATATTTCTTAGCTGTGTGAAGACAGTAATAACTGTCTTTAAGTGAAACCTGTGATTAATCTATTTATTATACCTCTCCAACCACTTTACAACATACTTTTTAAAATTTGCTTGGGTCCTAATTTACAGCACTATCCTTAAAAGAGACAAATCTGTTAAGTTGTAGAGATATAATAAATTTCCAATATCCTGAAAATCTGTTAAGTATTTCACTCCTAGCTGTGTTTTTTGTTTTTTTTTTTTTTAAAGTCTTTCCATAGAATTTGAAAATTTCATTGCGTGGGATTGGGTATGGTGGTAAATTTTAAATTTCCCCATACACTATATAACATTAGGATTAAATTAAATATATCTGTTCTTAGTAAAAAACAACCAGTTGACTAAGCACAGCTCTGCTTTCAGTTTGTTCCTGGGAAATGATTTTGATGAAGGTTCTGCAGGTTTTTTGTTTTGTTTTGTTTTGTTTTTTTGTTTTGTTTTGTTTTGTTTCATTTGCAAACTGTTCTTTGCATACTTATGTTTGTGGTCTTTGTAACTGACTTCTGCTTTTTGTTTGTTTCCTTTTCTTTCCTTTATCTGTTTTACTTCCCCCATATTGTGTTGTTGCTACCAGTTTCTATTGCTCCACCCCCTCCCCCTATGCCTCAGTTGACTCCACAGATACCTCTCACAGGCTTCGTGGCCAGGGTGCAGGAAAACAGTAAGTTTGGAAAAACCAAGCTATCAAAGAGTAGAGGCTGTCTCCTTATAGCATGCATGGCTGATGAGTCATCATTTTCCTTACTTTTTTTGAGAAGCTAATCTTACCTTGAAAATAGGCAGATAATGTTAATGAAACTGAAGAGCACGGTCTTCAGTTTTTTTCTCTTGTATGCATGATTACTGACCCATATAAATTTCAAAGCTGCAACTTACGTATTTAATGATCTAAAACATGAAATCTGATCTTTGAGGATTCTTAAAAGCTTAACACAAAAATTCAAATTATATAGGAATGGTTAGCTTCCAGTAATTATTAGAGGAATTAATTAAAAGACATTTTGTATTTTGTTGCCAGTTGCCAACAACTTCGTCAAGGTAGAAGATAAGTTTACTATTCACTTGGGGCTGATAGCAAGCTGCACCGCCCCCCCCCCCTTCCTTTACTTATAAAAATTTTGGACAAAGCTTTGTAGCCTCAGATTTTTAAACATGAATCATTTTTGAAATCATATGAAGATTGACTAGTAAGATATTAATGAACAACCCTCAAGAAGAAGTTAATCCCATTAAAAGTGATAGGTAGACCCCTAGTTTTGGCTATGTGTGAATCTGTGGTTATTTCTGAATATGTAAATCCAATCCTTTAAGTAATGAAGGAAGTAATCTTTGAAGGAAGATATGTTTAGTGATTTGAAGGAAGATATATTTAGTGGGGAATTTCTTTTGATTATATGGACTTAATTACAATAGTTTTTGTTATTTCTAGGTGGTTACTTTGAGGTTCCAGAAGATATATAATGTTAACTATGTGATCATAGTGAATGCTGTTTAGCAAAATGAAAAATACCACTACTACTGAATTACATTATACTATATAGCTGTTGAGATTAAGATAGTAAATGGTCTACTAGAAATTCACTTAATTTGGAGCCATTACCATACAAACAAATCTCAGAATGACTTGAAGAAAAGTATAACTTAATTGAAACAGTCCTCATCTTCCAGGAGATGATGGCATTGTTATATTTCAGCTTTTGCTGACCCTGTTGTGGTGTTCTTCACATTTCATCCTTTCTGCCAATCAAATTATTTGTTTATTCAGTGTTATGTGCTAAGTTCTGAGAGAACAGAAATAGTCTAGTACAAAGTCCCTACCTTCAAGAAATGTATGGTTTAATAAACTTAAGATCATAGTTTCAAAATATTGAAATTTGAGTGTAAACCAACATTATTGTTAACATTTGTTTGTAAGCTGTCTTAAACATGTTAAAGTAAGTACATTTTATTTAAAAATAATTGAATAAGGATAAATTGCTGGTCCTTAGTGCTATAAGATTTTTAAGGTTAAGTCAAGCCATTTCAACCTTTTGTGCAGCCTCATAGCTAATAATTTTTAGGAAATATTAATAGCCATAATGATCATTCATTTATGGTTCAAAGCTTATTGAGTAGCTTTTGATAACTGGTTTTCCATTGTGTTGATTAATTATGTGCATTTCTCTAGGCATTTGCTAAGAGGTCCATGGTATTATTTTAGTACTTATCAACATGAACTTAAGTCAATTGTTCCCCTAGTGCTGTAGAATGTTCAACTTTTACTAGATAACTGTTTTCTACTCATTGAGCATGTTAGGAAGTTTGGTTATAAATTTTATCTTAGTATCTTAAATTTTTTTGTGCTCATAAATATTCAGTTTATGGCACTCAAAGGTAATAAATGCATGTAGCAGTTTACCTATTAATTACTATTTTGATTTGAGACATGGGCCTCTAAAAAAAGTATCAATAATGTGTTTTACATGTATGTATGATGAACATCAAGAAGCATTTTTGAACTAAATACACAGGATGCTTATCAAAGTATTATGGGTAGAGGATTCAATTCATTAGACTCTTGCCCCTTTGTATGTAATTTTAAAATGAACCAAAGTGGTTTCACAGCAGTTGGATATAAAGACAATTGAGTGAAAACATTAAGCTAATAATAACACAAAGAAAGAATAAATACACCTTAGGGATTCAAATATAATTTACACATTCAACCAAATTAAGGATATGAGCTATTGATATGGCTGTGATGTCACAATGGATTCATAGCCATTTTCTTCTTTCAGTAATAGGAAGTGTTAGGAGTTATTAGCAAAATAAAATGGATCCAAGTCATTTGAGGGAAAAATAATTGTAAACCTATTTGGTAGCTATCAGAGTGAGTATTGTTTTCTAATAGTTTTTTTATCCTAATAGGATAAAGTAGAAATCACAGAATTAAAGTGGCTATAGAAGAAGTAGGGCTATTACCTGAAAACATTGTACATTTATTTTTTTCAGTCATATTCTTTTATTGAGGTAATGTTGGTTTACAACACATGTACATGATTTGGGGGTATGACTTCATACCTCCTCAGATGTTCATACAATGCCCACTGTGAGCCCTACATATGGTGCATAATCCCACACCATAGTCCATTGAGCCCTTTCCCTTCATGCCATGCCTCCGCCCTCTCCCTATGGTAACCTCAATGCCTGCAAACCTTATTTTAATACTAGGTCTCTGGCTATGGTCTCAGCACATTATTTCAGATGGTTGGGGAAATGCATTATAAATAAATACTACACATGTACTGTGTGTTAATTGATCATATAAATGTGTGTTATTTGATTTATAACTTGAATAGACTTGAATTACTTGAATTCATATGGTGTCATTCTAAACTTCTCTGTTGATATATGTATCAAAACATTTGTTTTTAACTCAAAACAAATACTTAAATATGGATCAGATATTTAAATTAAAAATTCATTGGTGGTGATGTGCTGTGGTAAGATAACATCTAAAGAGGTATTAATTAACCTGTGCTTCTGAATCATACATGCTGTTGTATATCAATCCTACCTCAATAAAATATAAAATAATTTAAAAAATAACATAAATACAGAGAGAGAATTAATTGTATTCTAGCTTTGAATTCCTTAATATTGGGCATATTTGTCACCTGGTTTCATACTTTTTCAGTGAACACAGTTCTAGCCTGACATTTTCACATTTTACTGTTTACATTTGTGATTATTTAAATCACACATGTACATGCCACAACTTTGTAGAATTTGAGGTATGAATCATTTTTTGGTTTGGCATATTAAGTTCCTTTCTGTTTTTGTGTTTTTATTTACACCTTTGTGCACTACTTTATTTTAAAAATATTTATTGTGGATATACCGGAACATTCGATCTTTAGAATGTAGTCTGCATCATCCCATGCTTGTTTTATTAGCAGTAATGCAAAAATCTGAGCTTGCTTTTTCTACATTAAAATTTTTTATTGTGACTATAAATACTGAATTTTTAAAAATTCAATAAAATTTCCTCTGGAATTATTCAGCTTTTAATTTTAGATTATTAAAATTTAAATAAAAGAAAAATGGATAAAATCTAAATGAAAGAGTGAAATACTAATACAATGTTGCAGACCTAATGCCATAAACTTTTCCTTTTTTTTCCATTAAAACAAACAAAAAATCCACCAACTGGAGAGTAATTTCTGTGGAACTAGAGATACTAAAGCCAAAGCCAGGGACATGACTATGCACAAAGAATGATTATCAAGTTATTAAACAACATCTCTCATAAAGTTTGGTGTAGTCCAAATGACAACTGTGATATAGGCTGGCAGCTAGGCTATGAGTGGCATTTGTTCTCACCTGAGCCTTGGTATGAAGAAACTTCTTTATGCCTGTAACCTTATAAAAAGAGACATTGTCGCCTAACCTCCTGCATTCATTAATTTATAGTACTTCTTAATATCCTTGTTTTTAGTTCATTTTATGATGGCAAAATTATTCTTAAGAATAGTGGAAGCTTTATTTAACACACCAGCTTTTATTTCTAATCATTGCATGTTGTATAATAGTGCATGCCCTGTGAATTAGAACTTAATTTCAAATTCTTAAATTCTATTAACTTACAAATTTCCATTTCCTTAATTTCTGATTCAAATCAATTATCTGAACTTTTATAGTTGCTGATAGCCCAACCCCTCCGCCACCACCTCCACCAGATGACATTCCCATGTTTGATGACTCTCCACCTCCACCGCCTCCACCTCCGGTGGACTATGAAGATGAGGAGGCTGCAGTAGTTCAGTATAATGACCCATATGCAGATGGGGATCCTGCTTGGGCCCCCAAGAATTACATTGAGAAAGGTAGGTGTACTTATTGAGTTGATATAAAGGGATATAACCCAGTTACAGAATTTAGAGCAGTGAACATCTAGCCAGTGTTTCAGATGGCCTTACCAGTCTAGATGATTTAATCAAACCATATTTCCAATGTAAATGGAATATTCTTTATTTTTTACATTTAAAGTATAATGTAGATGGGAATTGTCAAGTGACACATGCTTCCAGCTAGTGATTAACTCACTTGTCTGTCTGCATTTTAGAAACAATAAAGGCACAAAAACGGAGTTAATTGACTTACTAAAGTCAGATATTTGGTAGAGATTTAAAACAAAATTTCCAGGCCCTTCTAGTAAAAATAGAGACTTTTCATAAGTAAATATTTAAAATTACACTTGGGATTATCATGAGAAAAATCTTAAGATTTTCATTTAGTTGACCTGGTTAAAGAGAAGATAAGCTTTCAAATTTAATTTCACAAAGTCATGTATGACTCTAATATCCATAAGTGCCACTTGAATTACCAGGCATTCACTAATTATCAAGAATTGGTGGGAAAAAAACATCCTGTTTTTATTGAGCATTTTTGCTTTTTTCCATCCAAATTCTGTGCTATCTTAAAGTTACAGTGAAAAATGCTTATCGTTTATTAAATAGATTTGATAGCCTTGGAAATTAATCTACTTTAAGCAAGTAGTTCTTGAACTCTGGCATTCTATTCTATTCAAGTTTTAAGTAAATGACTAAAAGTGAATTTGCTGTTTTCCTTCTTTATAAACAAAAATTTTATATATTGTTCAAGAAGTCCTGAATATTGTACTTTATACTTGGATTCTCATGTACCTTCAAATGGATATATGTTGTAGTTATTGTGAGAATGACAAACTTGAGTAGTCTTGAGTTGTGTTTTTACTTGTATTTTCTTCTTTGAAAAGCAAATTTAACTTTAGTAATTGAAAATAGGACAATTGTTATTTATATAAATTGATAGGTTTGGAATGATAGAATAATTATTACACTTGATAATAGAGGAGGATTAAAACATGTCTATACAAGTTAAAATAATGATTCTTATACCAGGGATCATCACACATTTCTTTTGGTAAAAGACCAGTTGGTAAAAAATTTTAAACTGTCAGCCATGAATTCTTTTGTCACAACTGCTCAACTTTGATACTTATGATACTTTCGTATCATAACATCAGCCAAAGACAGTACACAGTGAGTGACTGTGCCCGTGAACCATTTAAACTGTTTACATAAAAGGCAGGCTTGAATTTGACCATGGGCACTGTTTACTGTCCCCTAGTCTTAATAAAAAATTTGAGATTTAGTAGGGTTATACTTAAAGTCTTTATAGTAAAGTTACCTTTACTAGCCACAAAATGAATAAAACCTGATTTAATAGAATTTTAGTTGGCTATATTAATGGTATGATTATTTCAAAAGCTGGATTCTTGGGGGAAATTAACTGAACTTTGCCCTAATATGAACCAATTTGATCATATTTCTTTTATATTAGATTAGTGTCATGTCTGATTTTGAGTACTGTATTTCAAGATCTTAGAAACAGGAATACCTTTGGAGAATATTCAGGAGATGGAAGTACCTAGAAAGTGCATCTGTATTGAGAAAGATTTGAAAGAAGGTATTATTTCTAAGTTTAAGAAAATAAAATTTCAGAGGGTCTGTCTTGAAATTTTCGTCTTGTTCACAAGGATAGGGTTAGAGCATTAGGTAAAGTTTTAGTGTTGGGGTGCTGAGGAAACACTCCTCTCCCACCTCTGCCCCTGTGTTCTTCTCAGGTTGGATGAGCAACTACAATGGCAACAGATGGATTGACAAAGGGAAAAAAATGAATTTAATAATTTACATACATATAGAAAACTTACTAAAGAATAAGGGAGTGGACAAGAGATACTAGTCTTGCAATTAAGACCCTGGGACATTAAGGACAGTAAGGAAGTGAACATATAACAGAGAGGGTATTATCTCCTCAGAGTGAAGGTGAGCTTTTTTAGATAAAACGATGTGTTTACTGGTTTACCTACAACTGCTGACACAGCTACATTCTCTAGGTCATAAAAAGTGGGGAGCAGTGCTTGCTTTTCTTGATTAGGAAAAGGGTAGAAGTTTAACATTGATGATGTCCTCTATTACTAAGGAAGGGACAAGAACTTCCTATGATTGTTTTCTTCATTAACGGTTAATCTCTAATATTTTAATCACTCAGTTTTTTTTGGTGGTTATTTAGCCAAAAAACAATATAATTAGTAATTCAATGTTCTTTTTTTTTTAACTTACAGTATTTTTAAGATTTATTTATGCATACAGAACTGGGGTACAGAGGTGTAGGGGTGGTGACAGGATTCACCAGAGACAGAATGGGAAGCAGAACAGGCAGATCAATGAAGTACACTGCTGAGAGGGGAGCAGTGGGCAAGACAGGAGAGGTATGCTGCATCATATGGGTCACTTCCTGGCTGGGGATCAAATTTGAGCTGAAGTGGCCGCAGCTGGCTTTTGCAGTGCTGTACTTTAACCTGATATGCTACCATGGAGGGCCACATTACCAGTTTTAACTTAGCAAATGATGCTATGGGATCTGTACTTCTGGTCTTTCCATAATTCAGAAGGATTGGAGAGGCTGTCTTTCTTAGAGAAATAAGTTCCAGAATATCTTAAATGTCTTAAAAACATAGTATTTTAGGGCCCTCCCTGGTGGTGCAGCAGGTTAAAGCACAGCATTAAGAAGCTAAAGCCACTTCAGCATGAGTTTGATCCCTATGTGGGAGGTGACCCACATAGTACGGCAGACCTCTCCTGACCTGCCCGCTGTGCCCCTCAGCAGTGTACTTCGTTAGTTGGCCTGTTCTGCTCCCCACTCTGTCTCTGGTGAATCCTCTCACCACCCCTACACCTTTGTACCCCAGCTCTGTATACATAAATAAATCTTTAAAAAAAAAGGTAATCTTTTCCCTTTTATAAATACTATAAGTTATATATATATATAAAAAAGAACATTAAATTACCAGTTATATTGTTTTTTGGCTAAATAACCACCTAAGAAAACTGAGTGATTATTAGAGATTAACCCTTAATGAAGAAAACAATCATAGAAACTCCTCCACATCTGGTCAGTACCCCAGTTCTCAATGCATAAATAAATAAATCTTAAAAAAAAAAACAGTATAGTAGAAAATTATAATTTCAGAATTATGCTATAAATTGAAGGGATGATTCAATTCATAATCCGACAGTTTAGAAATTATTTTTTAAGGATTTATTTATTTATGCTTACAGAGCTGGGGTACAGGCCAGAGGTGTGGTGGGTGAGAGGATTCACCAGAGACAGAATGGGGAGCAAAACAGTTAGATTGACAGTGTACTGCTGAGGGTAGCAGCGGGTGGGTCATAAGTCTGCCATGCCATGTGGATCAACTCCCTGGCCAGGGATTGAACTTGTGCTGCAGTGGCTTTGGAGAGCTTCATAATGCATTGTTTTAACCTGTTGCGTCACTAGGGAAAGCCCTAGAAATTATTTCTTAATGCCTTTTACAACACTATTAGCAGTTGAAGTGAGTATTCTGAACTAAGAATAATCAGTTACCACAGAATTGCATGACAGTTCTTTAATTCTTAATTAACGAGGGTAGCAGAAAAAGAAAAATATGAGATCTCTACTTGCATTTACTCCCTTTTACAACAATCTTGTTGACCTTTAAAATGTATAAATACTCCTTTATTTTTTAAAATGCAAGTATAGCCTCATACATACTTCCCTTGAATGAGTAAAATGACTATTTACTTCTCAGTATGTTTATTTCAAATAGGTAGCTTGAGTTGTTTCCTGGTTTACTGATTATGTTAAGAAGTTTGTCCAAAAGTAAAATTCAGAGATTTTCTCTGAATTGCTTGGTAGGAGCTATTGAAGTCTCTAGTCTAATCAGGTTGTAAGTTTGATCTCCTGGGTGGCATAGGGGTTAAGTCTCAGTGGTATCAAGCTGTTGCCAGCCACGACAGCATGAGTTCTCTCTCTGGCCAGGTTGCTGACACATGTGGCACAGCAGACCTCTTTTTGTCTTGCCTACTGTTCCCCTCAGCAGTATATTTCAGTAGATCTGCCTGTTTTGCTCCCCACTGTCTCTGGTGACTCTTATTACCTGCCCCCTTCCCACCCCATACCTTTGGCCTATACCCCAGTTCTTGTATGCATTAATAAATAAAATAAATCTTTAAAAAGACAAAAAGATAGAAGAATTAAGACTGTATACAAACTTGGTTTTACTACTATAGATTTGATGATATCTTTAAATAAGCTCAATTAAATGTTGGCTATAGTACACTCACATGTTTTTAATTCTTTATCTCCATAGTTGTGGCAATATATGATTATACAAAAGACAAGGATGATGAGCTATCATTTATGGAGGGTGCAATCATTTATGTTATAAAGAAGAATGACGATGGCTGGTATGAAGGAGTCTGCAATCGAGTGACTGGTCTGTTCCCTGGGAACTATGTTGAATCAATCATGCACTATACTGATTAAATTTTTTGCTTCTAAAGTAGGTTCTTATTATTACTCAGTCATACTGTGGGACTATCATGGTTAACAGAATTGTCTTAAAATGTTCCCATATTTCAGGCCATGCTGTTTTATTGGTATAATTGAATGTCTACCTGTAAGCATCAATCTTTGAGGCAGTTTGTGTATTGCTAACAAGCAATTTTTTTACAAGATGCTGTCCATAATGATTATGCTTATATACTTACACATTGTTAACTTTATGACCAGCCTAAATATTCTGGGGGTGTGGGGTATAATATTTAACAAATCATGATTCAGATTGTACCATAACATGTTTCAGTGCAGCATGATTAACGCTATGTCAGACTAATATTAAAATCAGAAACCTTAAATGCTGGTGCTGGTCAGACTTTTTGTTTAGATTCTCATTCTTGAAATAAACTGTTTAAAGCATGCATACAAATTCATGTACTGAAGTATTCTTAAAAAAAAAAAAATCCAAGAAGCTTCCAATTTGTGTACTATGTACATGGAACACTTAAGTCTCCAAATGAGTTTAGTCTCTTAAGGTCTCCATGTGAAACTAAACAAACAAAAAAGGTGATCTGAAATGTGATTTGTACCTGAGTTTTTTAATGAGTGAATTTGCGTTATAAATTTTTTCCATTCATAAATACATAAGTGAACCAAAGGTTTTTGTCCTTTCCATTACTGATTTGCTTTAAAAAACAAAAACAAATAAAAGATACCGATTTATTAAAGAATTATGGTTCTACTTTCCCAATATATTAACTTTGAAAAACACTCTAGCCTTATCTCAATCTGTCAGCAGTAATGTGTGATTTTCATGATTTACAATCTGAGATGGTTATTTACAATTCAATCTACTGAATTCTTTTTCTAAAGTAATTTTTTCAATGCTAAGAAAATTTATCAAAATGCATTCTGTAGGTAAAATTCTTAAGGATTGCTATCCTTAAACATTCCTTCAGTTTTCCAGTGAGCTGTTACATTACTGGTCCAGTGAAAGGAAATTATAAGTATCTTTTACATACTGTTTTTGTAGAAGTGGATGCAGTTGGTTTTTGAATAGGCACTATTTAGTCCATTACCTGGCACTAGCAACAACACAAAGATTTTTTAAATATTTGGGGAAAAAAGATGGGTCATATTAAATCAGTGAACAGGGATATATACCTACCAACAGATTTGTATTGTCTTTTGATATAATTGAAATGCAACACATGCACTTTGTGTGTCTCCTCTTAATTTAAGGGAGGGTTCAAGGGATGTTTTCTCTTCTTAATTTGTGTATAATTCTACATTGCCTAGGATTTTTAAATAGAGCACTCAAGTGTGGGTTTCTGTGTATTGAGGATTTGTTTGGATTTCAAATTACAGTTATGTATTGGGTGTTACAGACCTGTAACAGCATAGTAAATGTTAAGACTAGTGCAAAACATTATTTCTGAAAATTAAAGACCATTATTGCTACCAAATGAATGTGACTGTTGGATATGCATTTTGCTTTTGTTAATCTTCAGACATGCTTTTAGTATCAGTAGTGACCAGGTAGCTACTTTTATTTCACTTTTCCCAGTGGAATGTTCTTAATCTTGTATATAGTCTGTTGTCTAAACTTCATGTACAGTCTTTTATAATAAAACATTCTCCTATATGAAATTTTGGATACTGTTAAAATCTAATGTGGACAGAGATGTAGAGAATAATTTTCTGACCTATGATAAGACCAGAAAAACCATTTGAATTTTAACATTATTTATTGTGTAATGACTTTACATGTCAATATTAACAGTATAAACAGTACCACATATAACCCTTAAGATATCTCGGTAAGAATTTATAGGGACTAGAATGACAGATTCAGATAGTTAATTACATTTAAAAAGTTTTCTGAAAAAAATTTGCCAATAAAAAAATTGCCCACCCATCAAGTTGAAATGATTTTTTGAAATGATTTTTGGTTATCTGCACATGAAGCATAGTATATTCCACAAAATTCTTGAGGCACAGTCTGGTAAAATAGCTGCCAGATCTAATAGGAGTTGTTGTTATTTATCTCTCGTGAGCACAATTTCTGAAAGTTGGATAAGGGCATCTCGTTCTGGGGATGGTCGAAGTTTACTGATCTCTTTTATTGCTTCATGGCAGTACTGCTGGGCGAGGTAGGTTGTTTGTTGAACACCATCACTCTGTGGACACAATAAAAGCGATGCATGTCACCTCCTGCTATAATGAATTAAAACCACCTTTTTTGACATCAGAATAGATAACAGCCAAAGTGTGTTATTAATGTTCTCTTTAAAACTCACAGTTCTAGTTTCTTCTCTCTTTATGCCTTGTACTCAGACTAAAGGGCAAATTTTATTCTCTTAACACAGAGAGCAGCTACCTCATTAGTATCAAGCAGCCATCTACATCCTGGTGGTGTAGGAGTTTCTAAGAAGCTCTACATAAAATAGCTACACAATGAAATTTTAATTGAAAATTTCTGAAGTGAAGGGGCCCCAAAGGGGCCAAAATTTTATCCATTTTTAAAAAATTTATTTATTTCTTATCTGACGATTGGTTTTTTTTTTTTTGCTAGGCAATGTGAGGATTTAGCTCATTTACACTGTGCCTTCTAGTCTGATCTTTATGTAGCTGTCTTTCATTCCTCTACTTATGATCTCTGTCTTCATATAGGGCCAGCTTCTGAATTCCGTTATATTAGGATGAGGATACCTGCGCTCTCATTTTTTCCTTGAATCAATAAACCTTTACATTACAGGTAGAAGTTTGCATTTTATCCTGTAATGTTTTTATGTGGTTCTTTCTAAAGCTTAACACTAATAAAGCATTATTCCCATGACTTAATTTCCTTCTTAATGGTTCGTGATCCCGCTGTCATTCAGAGTAAGATATTCCTAACATGATTGAAAAGCTTCTGATTTTCTAAACATTGCTAACTGAAATAACAAAGTATGGCACATTTAAATTTGCTGTGTTTATTAGTACAGAACCCCACTTCGGAATGAATTACTTTTTATTCTTCCCACTTTGGTAAATGAGTTCATTCCGGATTCCTATAATTTCTAATGCCTTAATCATTTGTTTCATTACTACAACCAACTGCTTTTTAGCACTAATGTACAATTTTTTCCTGCATGACTTTCATTCAGCTCTTCAATTCATTCCATTGGGTTTAATATCTGCTTTTTCTTCCTTCCTTGCTGTTTCCATATTTTTTGCTGAAATACATCAAAATACCTAGAAAATATATACTGGAAATCAATTAGTCCTTCAGTGTCATTGTGTTTATGACTTTTACCTTCATATTTAATTGATGATTTTACTGAATATAGAAGTTCTAGGTATATTTAGATTCTGACAACAGAATGGTGGTTACCAGAGAGGTAAAAGGGAATGAGCAGAAGGTGGGCATTAGGTTGGTGGTTGACGAGGGACATTTGGTGGTGTGCTTGGTGGTAAAGTGGAATATTGTAACTGATACAATACTGTAAACTGTTACCTTGATTTAAAAAAAAATCCAGGTTTAAGATGTTCCTTCCTCATTTGGAATGCCTTGCTCTCTTCATGAAACATCCAGTTGCCTTATACACTGAGCCAGTTTGATCCTTTTACCTGGGTGACCACCACCTTTGATTTCACTTTTTGATTTGTTAATGTGATTATACTGATCTTCTGAGGACTTTTCTTTCTTTGTTTTTCCCATTTGCTCTTTATATCTGGAGGTATTTGTCAACTTCATATTCCTACCCTTCTTGGCAGTAGTTTATTTTTAAATTTTAAAAATATTTATACATAGAGAAGTGGGGTACAGGCCAGAGGTGCAGGATCTACCAGAGACAAAGTGGGGAGCAGAACAGGCAGATCGATGAAGTACATTGCTGAGGGGAGCAGCAGGCGAGACAAAGAGAGGTCTGCTGCACTATGTGGGTCACCTCCAGGGCCGGGGATCGAACTTGAGCTGAAGCGGCTGTGGCTAGCTTGCAGTGCGGCGTCCTAACCCTTTGTGCCACCAGGGAAGGCCTGGCCCCAGGATTAGTTTTTCACAATCATGTAAAATTTCTTGGAGCTTATGCTTATTCACTCATTGTTTCAAAAGAAAAAAAAAATTCTTTTTTGAAGCAGTAGTTTTGAGTCTCCTTATTTACATTTTTCTGAGTTTTTACTTGATCTCATTTCATTTAGTAAGGTTTATTCACCTATTTAATAATCCTACTACTTTGAATAAATCCTAATTGGCCATTCATATTTAATGAGGATAGGGACTAAAAAGCTTTGTGGGTGAACAGGAACTAGAATGTAGATAATATGTTTTAGAGAATACATCTTTTTTTTTTCTAAGTACATTTCTTTCTAAGCTTGCTGGAACTTTACTGCCAAGCGTAAGAGCTACAATCAGTCTCTTTTAAGTCCCATTTCTCAGTTCAGCCTTCAGAAGTACTATTTCTGAAACCAGAATCTCCCAGTCACATCAACTTCATCAGTGATACCCTTTCTCATTAGTTTTTAATAGTACTGCCACACCAACCCCTGAAAGTTGGCAGTTCACAGCTGATTATGATGAATGACAGCATAGTGCTAAGGCAAATGCATCCTTTGATGGGGTTTTGCTTTTTGGAAATTTAAATCTGAAAAGGCAGTTATTTGGAATTCATTCAAGTACTGACTGACTAGACTTAGACTTTGTTTACTAGAAATGGCTTGTTCATTCTATCTCCTTCATTACATCTGTTGGCTGTACATGACTTTTAGATTTTGGAAACACCTCATTCTTCCAAAAATCACTGAAAATGAACACATGCAAAAACACCTGGATTTTACAGGAAGGTTTTCAGGATTTGTGGAAATATATTTGAAATACAATTATAGCCTTTGAAATTTAAACATTTCTGTTTACCTATGTTGGTTTAGTTTTCCTTAAAGTGACCATTTGTTTAATCACACCTTTATAGTAGTTACATAGACTGGACTATGCAGTTCCAGTTTGAGATGATTGTACTAATCTAGCTGTGGCAAGGATGAGGGCTTGGACTAGGAAGCAGGTTTGGCTGCCTAGAATAGTTGTTGGCTGCTGCTGGGTACAGGGAAGGTTGACTCCAAACCAATGAGTTTCAGCCCTGACTGCACATTAAAGTCACTATTTAATAGCTTCCAAAAACTATTAATGCCCAAGCCCTACCCTAGACAAATTAGATCAGAACCTTTGAGAAGTGTAGAAGAAAAATGAATTATACAATTACTTTTTCTTCTGAGTTTTTTTGTCAAGTCAAGAATTGACCAGACTTGGTCTTGCAAATCTAAAGTTTAACCAATTACCTTGCAACATTATAGCCACTGTTGGCTTTTCTTTTTTAAAAATAACCTTACCTGTAAAACATATTGCCGGGCTCTGTCCACATCTCCTGGCGAGTTGAACCGTCTCATTATCATAGCATTCATTTCTGGGAACTAACCATCAAAAAGAAAATATCACTGGAGAGAAGCAAATGTTTTAACACTTGTTTGTAATAACAGAAAATGGGGGCAGTAAAGTGGCTAAAATGTTTAGGTGATGGGGGGAAGCAGAAAACTGCAGCAGCTACGGAATACAGCTAAGAACATCCACTGTCTCTTACACTTGAACCAGCAGAGGCCGCTTGGGCCTCTCCCCCTAACGTTTCTGAGATGAGGTTGGGCCTGAGGGTGTACTGCTCATAACGTGGGGATGCTGATTTTGTTGGTCTCTGCAGGCATTTTGAGAAACACTAGCTTAGGATAAGAGTCCGGCATTCTACTTTAGAAGTAAATTCAGTGACACTTGAAAGCTATGAGATTTCCAAGCAGCAGATGTTGTGAGCAGAGATATGTCTGCCACAGCAGCTCATACATAGAGTGGCTCAAAGCAGTGAGCACTCAGCCCTGACTGACTGTGCATTGGGGTCACTTGACTTGACATTTAATAAAATAGTGGCTTGGGACTTGGTCCAGGCATTAGAAATTTAACTCTCAGTGTCTCTCATATGCAACCAAGGTTGAGATCCATTGAATTAGAGGCTACAGGAGTAGAGACACCAGTCCAGTAACTAATAAATTATAAAGACCAGAGTTAAGCTGACCATAGTATGAGGTAATGAACACACAGAAAAGCTGTATTCTTCAGAATTTAGCAATTCAGAATTGTCACCATTAGCAAAATCCAAAGTGAGGACACAAACCACTTCATTTTTTAGATCCCTGCTCTAGTGCTATTCCTTCCACAGGTAAGTTCCTTAGCCTGTTGGTTAAGTCTTTTCACTGTGTCTCAAGGGAGCTGAACTACATCATCTAAGTGCCATTAGGTCCCTGAAATGAGAGGTAAAATGTTAGATTTAGTTTTGGACATGACTGTTTTACAGCAGTTGCCAGTTTTTCCCTGGCAGTGAACCTGAAGGATAAAATGAGTTGTCCTCTAACCACCACCCGGGTATTAGTAATCCTAGAAGAAAAACAGAGCCCACATAAAAAAAACCTCAACCAGATGATGGCAGATGAGGAATTAAGAATGTTCCTTTCAGAGCAAAGTATGTGTCAGAACAAAGTTCTAAACACGTAGAGGCTTGCTAACATGCTTAAAATTTAAAGAGACAGCAACTGAATGAATATTAAGTAATGTGCTTCAGTTACTGGTCTTTTAGGAATAAAGTAATTTTTAAGTGCTATAGGAAATCAGTAAAGTTCAAGTCAGTCAGTTCTGGCAGTAGAAAGTAATTAAGTGTTTCTCTTGGTTTATTAATACACTTTCCAAAGCTGGATTTCTGAGAGTCTGTTTGCCCAAAATGGATGTGACACAGTCCTGGACATCTGGCAAAATTACCTTGTTTATGGCATAGGAGCTTTTTCTGCAATACCAAGTGGGGTACAATGTGCTGACTGGGTGGTTTTTCTGATTCCTGTTAGGCTAA